GTTAAAAATGGTCATAAGTAATTTTTTTCAGTGTCGTAATTTTGACTCTTGTAAGTCAAGGACTACCTGTATACTGCTTTTTGAAACAGATTTTTTGTCTCTTCTCCTTTGGTAAGAAATCTGTAAATATGCTTTTCTTATATTTAGGATTAACTTACCCATTCTTCCCAATTTGCTATTTTTTGGGCCCTTTCTTCCAACTCCTGTTTCTCCAAGTCAGCCTTTTCTTTCGCTTCTCTAGCAAGCCGTTCTTCTGCTAGTTTCCGTTCAAATTCTTCCTTTTCTTCTTCCGTCATACCATAATTTCTAGGTTCACCAATGTTTTTTATTATTTCTTTTGTTATAACTCTATTTTCCAGGCCCTCATATTTTGAAACATCTTTCAAGTGTGAAGGCAGGATAGAAAAAAAATTGTGACATAAAATTAGATTGTGTTATTACTTTTTAGTTTTTATAAACAACCCAGTCCTTTCACTATTAAAAATGCCTCCTTGCAAATTGAGCAAAAATTGTGCCAAATGAATGGCACCAAAGCGATATTAATTAATTAATTAATATAGGCAAATGTATAGTGTTGTAATATTTGAGGGGGCCGTATATTTTTGTATAATACAAGCCAGAATAATGTATGTTTGAAGCAAAAGTAATGAAATTTGTCAAATGTACAAAACTATTCATTAAAACAGTTAAAAAATGTAGACGTGAAACATCTATGGCTCTATAACTGTTATCCATAACAACAAGAAAATATAAAATTGTGAAAATTCCACTATGATAGCTTTAAATTTAAGCTGTCAGTTAATTCATTTGCTTGTCATATTTATATCACATCTTTCCTCCAGGACCTCTAGGCAACATATATAATTCTTTCTCTAATTTTCTTCCATAATAACTATCTTGTGAAATAATGTGATCAATTGATTTTGGTATGACACAAAGTGTATAGTTCTGAGGAGAAAAAGAAATGAGGAGAGGACCCTGCCTAACAACATTCAAGCAGAAGACACACACAATCTTTTTCCAACTATCCTCTCTTCAATAAATTCTGAACAGGTACTTTTCTTTCGAGATTGACCAGGCCAGGAAACAGATATCAGAAGAACTATTGGAATTCTAACACTAAAGTTATTAATTTATTTATCAATTTATTAATTATTAATTAAAACAGAAACTTGAAAGTCTTTTTCATTCCATCCTCCCTTCCAAGGCTAAGGTGGCATTCACCTAATGGCTACTGAATTCCTTTTTCAAGGCTACTCCATACTTCTTTATAGCATGTGCTGGAATTCAGGAATCTATTCAATAACAATTTTACATAGGCTGACTATTGTTTTTATTTGGAATCCTGTGTTTGTGACAGAGAAAGAAACTTTTTTTTCCTATAATCCATTTTTCTCAATAAAGGAAATTGTAAATGGTCAGCATACAGATGTAAACAAACACATGTAACTAACTAACAATATTACCTAATTGGGTAAAGAAATGTCTGCAAAAAACCCAACCAAGTTCAGAGAGAACCAAGGTCTAGGTAAGCATATTCCATTTTTTGTTTCTATAGATTTGGTTTAATAATGGAATTTCTCATTAAAACCTTTGCCACATGCAACATGTCCTTCTGTGTTTTGAGTTACATGTTTTCTCTTTTTCCTATAGTAGGTTAATATGGGAAAGCCTTGACTAAGCATTAAAGAATTCAGGATGGACAATTAAGATGCATCAGGAGGTCCATCTTGATTGGTGGCATCCTATCATAAACATCAGTAATTGAGGAACCCTTGGAAGCAGTTTACCAGCAAAGATTCCCACTATCCACTGATAAGAGGTAGTTTGGGCCGAGAGACTGTTATTTGTACCACACATTGAGACTGCATAATTGAGGAGGGACTTGAATCTGGCCTACTCTTCTCTGGTCTACCACTTTTACCAATAAACAAATAGTCTTTTAATATAGGTAGTCCTTGACTTAAAGCCATTTGTTTAGTGACCATTCGAACTTGCAATGCCACTGAAAAAAGTGAGTTATGAACATGTTTCACATGACTGCTGCAGCATCCCGGTGGTCATGTGATCAGCTTTTGTGACCTAGCAAGCAAAAACAATGAGAAAACCGGATTCACTTAACAATTGTGTTACTAACAGATTCACTTAACAACTGTGGCAAGAAAGATTGTAAAATGGAGCAAAACTCATTTAACAGCTGCCTTGCTTAGTAATGGAAAATTTGGGCTCAATTGTTATAAGTTGAGGACTACCTATAGTAAAAGAAATAAGGATAACTATAACTTAATCAACTGCCATATACCTGAATAAAGTGTTTAGCAGCATATAATTAGATCATTTAGAAAGACTATCTGAACTGTACCTGATTTTGTGAAAAGATTTTCCAAAGGTAACTCAGAGATTCACTTGACAAGTGTGAATAGGTTCACATGTGAGAAAAGAATATGTCGTGTGGAAAAATGTATGAACAGGCAGGGTCTAAAGTAGATGTAGTTCTGCCAGTCTGGAACCTATTCCCACTGTTACCTCATCTTTTGCTGGTTTCCTCAGTCATAACTAAACACTTCTCCAATCATCAATGTGGCCTTCCATATGAAAAAAGTCACCCAAATTTATCTCATTGCTATTAATAGCATATCATTTGATCTGATGCTAGTTTTATTTTCATAATTTAGTGATTATTGTTGTCGTGAAACAGATGCTGTCTGGATTTTGTAGAAGTGTTGGTTTCCTTAATTACCTCACAATGCAGCTGAGGTTACATAAATTGACTGTGGAGGGCAATAATCCTTTCTGTATTTTAATTCTCTTTTATGACTTCCTTTTCACATGTTGAGAAAATTGGCTCAGTATGGGAAATTGAGACCAGAAGGCATAATTAAAATAATTAAGCTATTTTCTTGTTTCCTTTCATTTGCTATTTTCAAGTTGGCTCAAGTTAACAAGATTTGATGTATAATACTGTGCATGTTGTAATTTTTTAATTATTTGTTATCTAAATTTACAAATTAATAGTACATGAAAATGACACAAAATATCATAATAGTGGATGAAATGGAATGAAGGAATTAAATGTATTTTATATCATACCAATATATTGTGGATGTATTTCTATTTCATCAAAATAGTTGAGAACCGTTTCATCCTCAGTGTTTAAGTCCCTAAAAAGACTGAGGGATCTTAAGTATCGATCCTGGGCGTAATGTGTTCCAGCAACAATGCTTTCAGGAAGATTCATGATTCGGTTTTTCAAGAATTCATCAGAAGCATTCAAAGAAACAACATAGTCTATAAAGTAAAATACATTTCCGATATTACAATGGTATTAGAGTGACTTGCTTAGTTTATCTTTTGAATTGCCTTTCTGTGAATAATGATGAATTAGTATTGAGATCTTGTTTAAAAGAATACATAAATGTATATAAAGATTACAAGATTGCTGAAATATGGCTTACATGGAGGCAAAATTGATTTGAAACCACCAAGCAGACGTCCTACTTTACATAATTAAATTTACATTCAAGATATCTTATATATTCATCGACAAAATATCAGTGTGAATAAATCATTTCTGAAAGATTGAATTCACATATTGTGCTATTCAAGATATAATTTGCTCAGTCATAGTTTGTTACATAGCATTAATAGGGTGACAGGAAATAGTATTTCATCACTTAAATACTATACATACTTCAGGACACAATTATATAATGGACAGTTGCATGATGACATCATTGTGTGTCTGTTACTTGGCATCATTGTAGTTGCAGATGATGCTGAGTGTGTTGTAGGATCCAGAGTTAGCTAGTATCACACATGATAATCTACAAAGTATGTTTTACAAACCATGCTGGCTGGATTCAAATATAAATAACTAACCATTATATGAAGTTGATCAGTTAAAACTCTTTGTTATTTATTTATCATTAGATATATAATCCTTTTTATCTGTCTGAAAATAAAGATTATTTACAGTTGAATTATTAATTATAATTAATAATTTATGATATTTTTAATAAATTACTATTGTATTTACTGTAAATGCAAACCATTCACACATTTTAATAATTTCAGCCACAACGTTGCAGCATAAACATAACTATTTTAATTTCAAACAGCCATATCCTCCTTCATTTTATTCTCCACTGAATGTTCAGCATTTTCTGGCCTTCAAGTTTATTAGAAATCCATTCTCCCGCTAAGGAAATGACTTGACAGTTATACAGTAAGCTAATCATAAATTTAAAAAGTGTTTAACCAAGTTATTTGATTTATTTAGTATTTTATATATTCCATAGCTCAGTGGTTCTCAACCTGTGGGTCGGGACCCCATTTGGGGTCGATCGACCATTTCATGGGGGTCGCCAAGCAAGGCTGTCCGCCATTTTTTTTGTCCGCCATTTTTTTCCCCTTTTCCGGCGGGTGCCTTACCTCCCTTGGGCTGGGCCAGCTGGTGGTCGGCCTGCTTCGTCTCTGCCGCTTGCCAGCTACACCTCGGCCGGCGCAGGGGGCGGAACCACGCATGCGCGGCGTTCCCGGGCAGGGAAAGTCCTCGACTTACGACCGGTTGGGTAGTCCTCGACTTACGACCGGTTTAGTCCTTGACTTACGACCGGTTTAGTCCTCGACTTACGACCGGTTGGGGTCACGGCATTAAAAAGGTTGAGAACCACTGCCATAGCTGTTGGCCACTGGTTACTGAAATTGGCCAATATTGAGTTTTAAGTTTGATTGCCAATGTCTTTTTTAGGATAGGTATTGTCCCGATTGTATTGAAGGTAGAGGCATTTAAGACTATTGCAGAAACATTTTGACCCTTTCATTTGAACAATTTTAAATTTATCAATGTCCAGTTAGCAATTCTGTGATTAGACTTTGGAGTGTGACGTAGCTTCTTATACTTAGACATTTTTACTCTATTTCCAATCTGGTTTTCATACCCCCTTATGTTGTTGGACAATTTTCCAATGAATAGTAGATATAGAACTGTACTGGCTTGATACTTTTATTTCTCACCAATTTTTTATACTGATCAATGTTTAAAATATTGGGATTTGGGGGAATGAAATCATTAAGCTTGCAATTATTTTTTGCGGAACTGACTAGCAAGATATACTGGTGTAAACTATGAATGGGGGAAATCAAAACTTCCTTTTCCTCAAATATTTGTATCTTCAGCTAAGCTCTCACACTGTAAATGCCATGGATAAAAAATATGGGTTAACAGAAGAGGATGTGGGAAAATTAAAGGCAAAGAGCAGTATGACTTACATTTTTATTATGGAACTATCCACATTTTCTCAATGTCCAGATGACTACAAAAGATTTGGGTTTAAATATATAGAATTGAAATAAATATTTCAAGTAAACTTACCAGGAGTTATTAATTTGTCATAGCGATGCATTTTGCCTCTCATATCATCTTCCTCCTCCTCCTCTTCAACTAATTTAAAAAATAAATACATTAACAAGGTTCTAATAACAACTAGTATCTTGCCGTTTGCAATTGTCTAGTATTAATAAGTATATTTAGGCTTAATCCAAATATAATTATTGCCCTAGCTCTTAAGCTGCCATGTTATATATTCTCCAGTCTTCCTCTTCCTCTTGCTTCTCTCCCTTTCATTTTTGTAGATAATCATGTTATAACGTTAGGTATACAACCTTTCTAGGCCTTCTGTATCTAGGCTGAAAAAATCCAGACAATCATTAGAAGGCAGGAAAGACATTTTTCTATGTTTTTATTTCCATACTGTATTTGTTTAATTTTTTGCATTTCTGATACAGTATAATTAATTTATAGATACATAAAATTAGGGTCTTAGTTGACCAGTTATCATTGATCTAATTCCATCCCATTATCAGCTTCAAAAATGAAAAGGGAAGGCAGATGTTGCATGGAAATGATAGGATGAAAAACTGTATGAGGCTACGGGTTCTCACAATTACATAACCATACTGTATGGTTAGAAAAATACATAAGATGTTTTTACCTAGCATTTCAATAGGTTTGACATTAAATATTAGGCTGTGAAAAAAAACAGGAGACAAATTGTCTTGATAACTGATTGTGTATCATATTTTGACTAAATACATATTCCATTTCTATGGCTGAGTTCCCCAACATATCAATCCATAGATTCCTTAACCACAGCTTATGAAAAAGCATGGCTGTATTCATGAAACATGTATGCCATAAACCATGTGATGGGATTCATACATCATGTTACGCCATGGGTGTCCAACCCAACTTTTTGGCTTGCCTGGGCTGCATTGAGTGAAGAGGAATACAAAATATATAATATTTTATTGTATATAAAATGTACAATATAATTAATATATATAAATCACATACTAATGGTTTATGAGCTTGTGGGGCCACATTACTAGCTGTCCAGGCCACATGCAACCCTTGGGCTACCGGTTGGACATCTCTGTGCTAAGCCAAAACAAGCAAACTCAGCATTTAGCTGAAAGCTGAAAGCTGACTGGTCAGTTTCTCTTAGCCTACATTGGGCTCTGAAGATAAATAGGCGAGATAATTCTTGTTGCAATCAAATGGATCAATACTAGGTTGATCCCAAAACAGCAGATCATACACTTGCAGAAAAACACTAGGAAGAAAAATATATATACCATCTTGGCATTCCTAAATGTAAATGTTCTACATTTCTTCATTTTTAATACTGCTACATAGTGTAACAGTGAAGCAAGAAATTATATTTCTTTGAATGCATGATTTCTATACCAAAGGCTTTCCTATGTCCCAGTTTGCAGGTCACAACAAGAGCGTAATGTTTGTGTGAAATACAGTATAGTTTATTTTTACGAAGATGTGCCCCAATGATTCTGATAAAGGTGAGAGGTCCTAGCTTAACAACCAAAATTGGGATCAATAGCTCCAGGGTTAAGCGAGACTTCACATGACCATAACAGACTTATGACCTCATTTCTACCCCAGTCGCTAAGTGATTCACCTGCAGTCATTAAGTAGGATATCACATGAATACAACTTGCTATTTTTAATTTATACTTTTATTTATTTATCTATATCCCACCTTTATTATTTTTACAAATAACTCAAAGTGGTGAACATGTCCAATACACCTTCCTCTTACTTTCCATATAACAACAACCGTGTGAGATGGATTGGCCCAAAGTCAACCAGCTGGCTTTCATGGCTCATGGCATCCTGCTTTCTACTGCCTGATTTTACTGTCAGCTTCTCTGTTGCTTGTCAGAAACCAGCTGTGACACACACAAATAGTAATCATGTGACCACAGGATACTGCAATTGTAAACAACTGCCAGTTGCATGGAGCTCAAATCTCGATCACATGTCTGCAGGATGCTGCTCTGGTTGTTAAGTTCAAGAACTGGTCATAAAGTTATTTTTTCAGTACTGTCATAACTTTGAACAGTCACTAAATAGGGCAGTCACCAAAGGAGGATCATTGAAAGGTCTGAGTATATTTAACTCTTTATGTCAAGCTCTTGGCAATTGACTTAACTGAAAGTATTCCAGTCAAAAATTTCACAAAATTTACTAAGATGAAAGGGACAATATTACAAGAATTTCAACAAATGAACTATTTGCAATTAAGAATGAATTTATTCCCCATACATAACTAAAGGTTGGCAAATTAGTCCAGAATGCGGCCGCGCGGGCGGTGATGGGAGTGACTCGTCGCTCCCATGTAACGCCGCTGCTGCGCGAGCTGCACTGGCTGCCTGTGGCCTTCCGAGTGCGCTTCAAGGTGTTGATTATCATCTTTAAAGCGCGCCATGGCATTGGACCTGGTTACCTCCGAGACCGCCTTCTGCCACAGATTACCTCTCACCGACCGATACGCTCCCACAGAGAGGGCCTCCTCAGGGTGCCGTCAACCAGACAGTGCCGGCTGGCGACCCCCAGGGGGAGAGCCTTCTCTGTCGGAGCACCCACCCTCTGGAACGAGCTGCCCCCAGAGATCCGGGTGATTCCGGATCTCCCCTCCTTCCGCCGCGCCCTCAAGACCTGGTTGTTTCAGCAGGCAGGACTGGCCTAGGGGTATTTTAAATTGGTTTTAATCTAAATTTTAGTAGAAGCGGCCTATTTAAATATTTATTTTTAATTATTCTCTTAAATTTTGTATTTTGTATTTGTATCACTGTTTTTAAACTGGCTGTAAGCCGCCCTGAGTCCTCCGGGAGAAGGGCGGGGTATAAATATAATAAATCCTAAATCCTAAATCCTAAATAACTGTTTATAAAACCATCCTCTGAGTCCTTATGTAACTGACCATTACATAAAGGATGTAAATGGAAATCCACTATTGCCTAGGTTAGACATGACTGCTTTCTAAATTCCTTGGAGGTATTCCATTTTCCTTTTAGATTGCTATAATTCGTAAGCATTACATAGTTAAATACTGCTATAGGAGAGTTGTATGATTCTTGATATAGTCTATACCCTGATTAAAATGTTATTGGCCCATTTTTTGTAGACCTTAAAATATGGATGTGAAACAGAAGACTCCTAGACACAGCCTCTTCCCATCTTCCTCCCCCAAAAGTAGAATCACAGTCCCCAAATGAATGCTAAATACTAATTAAATTCAACATTTTACCACCAAAACTGACTATGTAATCTTCTTGTGCTTCTGAAAGTTGATGGGTAGGGGTTACAAATGGTTGCCCAGCTCTAAATTAGGGGTTAAGTTCTTTGAATTTTGGGTAGCTTCTTTCCCCATCAAGTAAGGTGAAGAGATTAATTTTGCAGTTTTTAAATCTTCATGGGGTGGAACAGCCAATCCATATGGATCTCAGCACTCTGAAATTTTTTGCTCAGAACAAACTGTTTCCAAAACTGTGTTAAATAAGTTGAAGATATCTATCATTAGCTCTCCTGCAGCTACAATGGAAAAGATATGAACTGAGCTGAGAAACACAAATTTCTGCCTATTTCATCAGCCTCATGAAATTACTATTTATTGCAAGATCCAATCTGGGTTGGTCACCGGGACCAGAGGTTTACTCTTCCGAGTTTTCAGACTCATGCTGGAGCCTATCCTCAGGGAATATATGTTTTGGGCTATTCTATGTGTTGTATTTATATGTTGCCTTCCTATTGGTTGATTGTTGTGTTGATGGCTGGCAATTGGCTGTTGTTTCCTTGTGCTCCTAAGTACCTGATAAGCTGATGGTAAATCAGCACTCCTGTTTATTGACAAGGGACCCGTTTCCCAGGCTTCAATCATTTCCCTGGCTATCTTTGTACCTGCATGGCCAATAATCTTAGTAGCTGTAAATTTGAATGTATTATTATTTATTCTATATGAAGAAACATACATACAGTATACAGACTAGAAACAAATACATTTATGCATAGAGAGTTACTATATATTATGGTAAGTGCATGCTGATATTTTCAACTGAAAATGGGGTAAAACTGTTCGGTGTTGCCCTCTGTGCAGAATAGACTACCGTTTAGAATTTCTCAGCAGTAGCTTTTCTTATCATATGCCATGTTCTGGGCCTGTTAGCTACCCAAAGTAATGCTGATTATGACTAGAACATGGGTGCTATAAGATGAATACTTTATTTCAGCATAATTTACAACTTATGAGAAATCTGTTATTGTGAAATTAGCCACAGGTAAGTAGCTGTAATGCAATGCACTGTACATCTAACAGAGCAGTCTACAAATACTTACTGTTAAATAGATCTTTTGCCAGGTCATAGACTTTTGGAAACCCATCCAAAATATATCCTTGGTTTTTACAAGGCATAGACATTAGCATTTCCTTCATGAACCGAATCACATAGTGATCATCTAGACGACCTAATTGTAATGGGAGAAGTATTAGTTAAGGCAGAGTTGAGTGGTCAAAACTGAAATTACTATTGTCTGGACACATACTTAATACACCTGCAGTGTATTAGAATTACATACTTATAGCTTGCTGAATTAGCTCAGTTAAACTGATCCCTAAACAAACTGCAAAGATTGGCAATTCACAAGCTGCACTAAAACATGGTTTGCTAGTTTGTGACTGTTACACAAACCAGTCAATGGGATGGATTTATAGCTAGCTAATAAGCATTTGCTGGGGACAAACTGGTTACACTGGAGGAGAAAGCTGGGTGTCAAGTTTTTTTTATTGTTTGGCTTTTATTGCTATTGTGACTCTACCCAAAGTTCTGCTTCTTAGGATGGGCAGCCTTACAAGTCAAACAAACAAACAAATAAATAGGGAGGGGCAGGTTATGGTGCATGCCACATTCTACAGTATGTCTTCATGGCTTCTAACAGATGCCTGCAATTCAGCCTATTGTGTGAATGTAGGCTATCAGTAGCCAAGATCTGGTGGCTTGTCCATTACAACAATATTATTTCAATTATTTCTATCATTTCTTTCCTTCTCATCATTTCTTATTCATATTTTATCTCATGATTGTGTCCTGATTTTCCTCTGAAGAGTTAACAGTAATCTAAATGAGACTGATGAAGCTGGGAGATGATGACTGGATTCATGTACTGTAGCATCTAATGGCATGGCAAATAGAATCAACCACAAATGGTTGAGATTAGAAAATATTGAAATTATGATTTGCAAGCCAAAAAATATAAGTTTACACAAAATCAATAAAACCAGTTATAGTTCCATATTTTTGTGAATCCAATCCAACTAAGTGGAAGAAGCACTATAAGCAAACCACTGCATTTACTTTTGAAAAGGAAATTTTTGCTAATTTTTCATTTACCCGAATTTTGCTCCATGTTTTCTTTAACTGAATCTAACATTTCCTGTGCTTCTTCTACATTATCTCCTTGTTCTTCTTCCTCCTCCTCCTCCTCTTCCTCCCCTTCTTCCGCAGACTCTGTTCCCTCTCGAGGAGCAACTATTTTCTCCTGAGGAGTTAAAATAAAATGCCAAGAAAATTTGGACTAAATTTTGGTTCAGCTGTAGAAAAATTAAAACAAAGTTGCCCTATTTGTTCTATAGTCTATGATATATTTGAGTGAAGGTTGCAAGAAAGTAGACATTGTAAGAAGTATTAAATAAATTTTGCTTTTAAAAAGACATATCCTTCTGAAAAATATTTCAGTTTGTCTCTTCTCCATCATCACAATGCACTGTGGCATGTTGTCTTTCGATGCATCTATGTGGAAACACAAATTGTTCAATAATTTACCACTAAATATATCATTAGGAATATCTGATCTTCATGATCAATTATCCTTAACTTCATTATTTATTATTCCTAAGATTTGCAGACTGGACAAATTTTAGATTTGACATTCTTGATGTAATTAATAATTATAATAATCTACAAGCTTAGCAAGTAAATATTTTTCTTTTCATTCAGTATATCATGCTGCAAAGCTAAATCTTCATTAGAAACTTGACATTATCAAAGAAACTTTGAATTCCTATTCCCTGCTTGGTTTTGCATCCTGAACTGGAAATCAATTGTCATGTTTGTATTGCCCTTAGTCCATGATCGTGCAGTTGATTTAGACTTTGTACAAATTGTGCCAATAAACTTTAAACTGATTTTTAAAGTTTAAACTTCTATGTTTAATTTAAAGAAATATTTAAGAGAAATATACACAGAAGTCTACCCATACTGAAATACAATATTTAACAGTAGAACTATACATGTTCCAGTTTTTCTATTGAAATATTTTGAAGCAGAGAATGGAATGAACCTAAGTTATAAAGTACATGTTTTGCATGCAAAATGAATTATTTCAGACATGACTGAAAAGATAAAATGCATAATCTGATGACATATAATGCAGGACATTTTTATTCTTAAATCTATTACTGTATGAATTATTTTTAATTCTACTCATACTTTTATAATCTTTTATAACAGCTCACAACATCAGTGATCTACTTACCAGATTTTCTATGGCTTTAGTGATCACTTCCTTTATTTTAATGTGATGCACTTTGTAATATTTGCATAGCTCTTCTGCAATTGAAGTTTTCCCTACTCCAGGAGGACCAAGTATGCAAATTTTAACTGGCTAAAAGGAAAGGGATATATTAATAATTCTTCATGCACCATGACCAAAATTAAAATGAAAAAAATATATTATCTTTACTCAGGTTCCAAAAGCTGAAGGATATGGTTTAGAAAAATTCTTTGTGGGTGCAATTATAGGCTTGTCTCCCTCATAGCAGACTGGTTGGCAAAACACTGAATACTTCATAACTATCCATACTGATTTAGTCCATCCATGGCTATAAGATAGCATAGGATATAGTATAATTGAGCGACTTTTGCCCAAGGACCACATGTACCCCAAGCTCTACTTTTGTAGCCCTTAGAGGACTTTCATGATTGCTGATTGCTGATAATTGCTGAAAATAATGTAGTTTTCCCACTGGGGGGTAGAAAACACAAGAAGGTACAGTGCTAGCCTTAGAACAGGCTTTTCATGGTTAAAAAGAAGAAAAAAAAACTGCAGCCAGTCCTACCCCCCACGTGATGGGGTCCCAACTCAATTTCTGTTGATAAATAAAATCCTGTCTCAGATATAGTTGAAAAACCATACTATAGGATCAAAGTATCATAGGATTATATTTATATGATTTAAGTTTACACAAAACAGAATTTTACTTAACAGAAGATAGGGACAAAGGGCATTCCCATCTGCGTAAAAAGGGAATAGAAAGTATTTAAGTACATTCTTCACAATTTAAATCAAGACCGTGGAGTAAAAGAAATATTTTTAAAAGGCAACTATAATAGACAATGCAACCGTGATTTCCCATATTTACATAATTTTTGAGACCATGTATATGTCACACTCAGTTTACAGCTGGGAGAGAGGAAGGGCCGAGAAACTATAAGGGCTGGACCATTGAACAAAATGGTGTAAATATTAGAGGTTGGTCACACAAATTACCAGAAACTGGTGATCTTCAATGGACCAGTTAATCCATAGAGGGCCTACACAATTGATTCACACAATATTCTTGAATCAAACATGTTTAGGTGGTAAGGAATCTCTCTTTTCATGTATGAAATTGGATTTGAATGTAAGCCTTTAGGCTCATACTTCGTCTGGACAAACACAATTTGCTCTATGATAGTAATAGTTCCTGTCGGGACTTCCGGTGGGACGGCGCGCCGATGGCGGCTCTTTTCGGAGCCGTCCGCTTGGGAAGGCGTCAGAGCCAGCATGAACAGCGGTCAGCAGCTGTTCAGCGGCTTGGAACCTTGTGCCCCGGGAGAAGGGGTCGAGGTGAGTATTCCTGGATAGGAGTAGAGTCCCAAAAGCTCTCCCTTTTTCTCGGGAGAGCGAAA